GAAAACATTAGTAAATTTCAAAGTGAATTAAATACATTAATGAATGATTTACTGTCTTTTACACAAGGAGGATATATTAGCCATTGACCTAATCAGCCACAGACAACGGGAAGCCCCTTCCAGACCCCGCAGCTAAACCCAAATGCAGACTTCTTCAGTTCTGGTAGACGTCACATCCCAGATATGAATGTCAGCAATAGGGGTGATCTAGTATGAAGGAAGACACAGGAATTCGGTGGAAGGCACCGTGGGAAGCATATAGAACACAATTTGAGCTCATGAATGGCTAGACATAGGATCAGAAAGCAGTATATCTGGCAACGAGCTTGAAGGGACAACCACGGGAAATACTTGAACAGTTGTCAGCAGATGACAGGCACAATTATAGAGAACTGGTAGCTGCTATAGAACTGAGGTATGGAACCCAAAATCAGTCTGAAGTCTACAGGGCTAGGTTTAGGACTAGAGTCCATGCTAAAGGGGAGAGCCTGCAAGAGCTGGCACAGGATTTGGAAAGTATGGCACACAAGGCCTACCCAACTGCACCACCCGATGTCCTCAAGTTGTTGCTGAGGGATCAGTTTGTAGATGCCTTGGACAGTCCACAACTGAAGATACAAGTAAAGCAAGCACACTCCTCTACTATACAGGATGCAGTGGCCAGAATTCTTGAATTTGAATTTTAAGTTAAGTCCAGCACATAGATACCAAGATTGGTACAGTCATCAGGATTCAAGGCCAGAAAATGGCAGCTTTCAGAGAGGTTTGAGGGACTTTGCTGGCACTGTTACAAACCTGGGCATAAGTGAGCTCAATACCGAGAACTTCAACACAGGAAAGGTGTCATGGTGGGAAAGGCTGCTACCCAGAAAGGCTGTTGGAACTTTAAAGAGCAAGGACATATGAGGAGCCAGTGTAAGAAGAATATTACCAATAAATCAGCCTCTGGGAAGCCAGTAGTGGTTGGTGTTGAGGTATGCCCACCAACCCCCATCGTGAAAGTTCCAACAGCTAAGTGTAAAAGTGGCAAGCACACATAGTGTCGACGTGACAG